TAGATAGATAGATAGATAGATAGATAGATAGATAGATAGATAGATAGATAGATAGATAGATAGATAGATAGATAGATAGATAGATAGATAGATTTGATTTTTATGGCATAAGTTTCTTAAAATATTTGAGACTTGTAAAGACTATTAACTAATGGAATTTTATTTTGAAGGATATGAAATGTATGCAACGTAATGGTTAGCTTGATGGTAAACTAAACAACAGCAAAGGGAGAGAACAGAGCATGTGTTTGTAGTGATCACTACATTTGTTGCTTTAGTTCTTATGCTGGTTGACGAATCGCACATGTTGGAAAAGTTTAAAATAAAGGACACATTAACCGTCAGCAAGGCTCGTCTTTTTTCGACTGGAAGCTATAACTGCTTACACTTGTTTTCTTCAAAACGTTTGTTGTAACTAAAAGAAAAATAGATGGATATTATGATGGAAATTAGCTAATCAACTAAACTCCAAAGAGTGAAACATTCCTGTGAAAGTAGGCTAATGGAATGCAATTTTAAAATGTAACTGACAGCATGAATCAATTTTTAAAGCCTTATTGGGATTTTGTTTTCAATAATAACTTATTTTTATGTCAAAACTAGGAAACTGATTTTAGAGTAAAATATAAAATTAAAAGTTTTCCAACGTTGAGGTAGCAAGGAATTCAAAGTGGATCACTGGTTGCTAACATTTTGCAGATTTAAACTTAATCTGCAAAGTTTTTCATGAGAAACCCAGTGCTTCARCAGTCTCAAAATGTTTTTTTTTTTTGGCCACGTGTAGACATCACATTTGCCTGCATGTGGCCTTGTGCATGAGGAGTTGTTTCATGCCATTACCTTTAAGGTCATCTTGGCCAGTAGTTCCTGGAGGTCCATGATTCCTTGCACCAGGCTCAGAAAATCACTGCAGGTTGGACAGGCTCAACGGGCAAAGAGTGCATCAAAAGAGATGGGGAAAGAAAAGGAATGGCACCAGAGAAGCATTTAGACAGCAAGTATACAAAAGCAAAATAGACTGAAATCATTAGTTTGACTGCATTCATTTACCACAACACATAGCAGCCAAAGTGAACAAAAGCAAAGCTTAAAAAGTCTGTGGACTCTTTGTTTTAGGCCTTTGGTCGGTGTTAGTATCGATATTAAAGCACCGGGGTGTGATTGCCTTATTGATCAGGGACAGAGAGAGTAATGCAGCAGTGACCCTGTATCTTAATTTGTTTGACGGCAAACATATTAAGAAACAAGGCAAGCAGAAAGAAGGCAGCATTGAATCTGAGGACTGAGGAATCTGACAAAGTGAAGATGGGATTCAGAAAGGAAAGAGCAAGCAGGTCATCCCCAGCTGACATGTTTCTCTCCGCTTTTATTTGTTGTTGACAGAGTTATTTCATGATACTTACTGCGATTAAGATTAGGACACTGTGTGATGTAACCATTGGGAGCAAAGATCAGCTTCACATCCTGAATAATGCCCTAAAATAGAGAGAAAGACATTGCGATTAAAATAAAACACAAAACTTCACAATGATTCTGTCGATATATATATATATATA